TCCAATTGTTTTTGAGGGAGGCATATTTTAAGCAGATATTTATAGACTCATTTTCTCCGTTTTCCTTCAAGTGGTAAGATTTTATTAAGCAAAGATCTTACATGAGTAGGTTTGTGATGTCATCCAATCAACGATTTAACTAAAGGCACGCTTTGAATTACAAAATAATTATAGTTCACACCAACCAAAACTATGGTAAATGCACTTTCTTGGTGTGTGTGTAAAACAGTGCATTTAAGTACCATTGAATAAAGAAAAGGGAACACGTCTTATATGATATGGCGTGAACAAAAACTGTCAAAGTAATTTTACATCGTAATCGTGAAAGTCACCATGGATTGATACCGATAACAATCCATTGTTTCAAGACAAACTGGAAATTTATATACACAAATTTGAATAGTTAATGACAAGGTTACTCTTCATATCTATATTCGGTCAAATATCAATATAATTGAGAGAAAATGTTTTGTAAATGCCAGTTTATTATATTCATTTGGGGTAAAGTACAGTTATAAAAGCGTTAGCTTTGGCAAGTGAGCCAGACGGAAGTCTCGCAAGATGCTTCAGAAACACGAATATTGAACAGTATATTTATAGTTATTGCAAATGAAAGTTTTTCACTATACTATGATACTTTTTTTAGGCAATTATCCTTTTCGAAATGGCAGATGAGTTGAAAATCAGGTTGTGTTAATAAAATACGTCCTACTTATAAATAAAGTATTGTATCAATTTTTTTAAGATATGCCAGTACAAATGAATCCCAATATAGTTTTAGTAATAAAACTAGAGTAAAATCAGTTTTTATTTTAATTTGCACTGTTTGCTTGAAAAATTACAAAATAAATACGAGGAAAGTATTTCATTTTTTATAAAAACAGAAAATCTAGATTGAAACAGAATAGTTACATTAGATTTCTTAAAACACTTAGATACCAGGAAGATTTCCAAAGCGCAATATTATTGTTAATCATAAGCAGGCCCATTATAAACATATCCGATAATAGACTGTGTTATTACATAACTTCGTTCTAGCTTCTTTAACAACCCAATCTACACGTTATCCTGACTAATAAGGACACAGATAATATTTTGAGTGCGTTGTTGTAGATAAGTGATGCAAGGTTCAAGTGAAAATGCGCAGGAATATAATAAGATAGCTGGTAGGACTGACTTATTACTTACAAAGCATTTGAACAATAAACCGTACATTATTAAACCACAACACAGAAAAAATAATCTAATATCTACTTAAATTCAAACATACTAATAAAGGTAATGTTAAAAATGTGTATATTCTTTGGGAGTAGAAGTAATTTAGTAATTTTCGTGACGTAATTTTGTTTACTTACATCATATTTGTCATATGACATTTTAACTTCCTTTTTATATCGCGCATTTATCATTCTGTGTATGTTATAATGCACTCGACTGCCCTATCTGTTCCATAGGAGAGTAATGTGAAGTGTTATAGAATAGAATACATGTATAAAACACTTATCTTGAAATGTTGAAACGATTGTTTTCAATTTACTTAAGAGATTTTCGTTGCGCCATGCAAAATGACATGATATGATAATTCCATTGATGTTCAAAGTGTTTTGACGTTAGAAGCTGCCGTCCGTAATAAAATGATGTTTTACAAAGCAGCCTGGCATGTCAAATCTTAAATGAAATTATTAGCAGATACGGAGTAAACAAAGTGACACAGAATGTTATTAATGAAAGATACACAGATAACATTGATAAATGTCTTACTTCAAAAGCAATCCCTCTTTGTAGATATAGCACTAAACAAATGATTAAAAGGCCGTTCAAAGAATATTTTGAAGAAAAGGATTGCATAACATAATTTATTATATATTTCAAACGTATAAGAAAGTACATTATGACATTGAGCCTTCCATATTGTTCGTTATTAATTTGTCAAAGCACTTAACAATATCATGCAATGAGACACCGGGGTGACTTCTGTCTAGGGACATATAATATTTCAAATAAAAGTTGATAATAAACCCTCAAAGCGGTTTTTTACGTTACTGGCGAAGTATAATCAATATGTTCTATGCGATGTAATTTCTGAATGTTTTTTAAGAATAAATTTAAAAAAAAACAATACTGCGAAGAAAGTTTCAATTCACACATTATTTAACAATGTTTTTTAGTCTTACGGTATAAGTGGTTCAAAATTGAATACTTTATCAGCAAAAATAACAAATAAAGCTATTAGAGGTAATGTTTAAAGGGTAAAAAATAATCAAATAATGTCACATAATTTATTTTCCTTTTTATAAATGACCAAATGACCTAACTTTTATACTACTGTTTTATACATTAGGCTTTTATGTCAGTCATAAGTTTATATCTTTTCCTAAAAACTAACAGATCATTGTTTATACGTTTCTAAAACAGGTTTTTGAGCTTCACATTTACAGTTTTATCTGTAACAGAACACTAATATAAAGACAGGTAGAATATTATATAACAACAACACTACTATGTTCATTATGTAGATCATTTTATTATTATAGTTTCACTGAACCCAATTATATTTGTATAATATGAAATATATATATAAAAGGGTATTAATTTATTCAGATATGTTATGAATGTGTGAAAGAAGTGCTAATTATGTTTGATTTTAGTATTACAACAGCATAATATCATAAGAGAATACTTAAATCCACTGATTAAATGGCTTGACAATATAGTTGGATTTGTATATTCTGACTAAGCATTATATTTACAATTATCGTATATGACAAGTTTAAAACGATACAAATGGAACTGGCTTATATTTCCAATTTGCTGATAATGAATCCATCCACAAAACATCTCACTTAAAATATTTATGTCCATTTTCATTCGCAAATTGAAATGAAGTAAATCTATTCGTTATATTCCTGTGCAAACATGGTTGGATAAAAGTAAATGAAATAATTTTATCTATAAATTGATTATTAACGAAACAATCTAAGCTTGATTGCAGAACGTTCATGACACACGTTATTTTGACAAACATCTCATAAATCCGTTTGTCAAAGGAAATGTAACTGTGAAAGATAAGATATTGCGGGCAAATATCATTGGCCAAAAGTATAATGAATTGATCTCTTTAATGGCAAGAAGATCAATAATCTTGTACTAAGGTGACATTGGTTCCTTGTATAAATATATCATATGATTTATATGACAAATACTCCACACAGTATTATTTCAATCAATGTTTTGAGATAAATTAATTGCTTTTTATTGTTTTTATAAATGGAATAGCAACTAAAGAATTAATATATGTATGAGACATGTTAATTATAGTCCATACCAAGCGACGATAGATCTGAACGATCGTTAAATGTACCTTGTGACCTTCAGGAACATTATACTTGAATATATGAGCAACTAATAAAACAAGCAATTATCATGATAGTATTGCAAGCAATCCATAAGTCCCCTACCGGTTAGAACCCCATCAACATTCTGATGCGCCATTGGCCATTCAATTTTACCAGTGAATGAATGGCATGAATGAACTTAAATCTTTTGAGATCTATGTTTGTCTATATCACAGTTACTGTAATGTGTTAAGTTTCCCTGCCTAGTAAGGAAATTATGTTTATACAACCTTGTCATATTATTACGATGTGGAATTTTAAAGTAAATCCTATAAGGAATGAAGAAGTTGGAGTGAAAAATACCAATTTCTCGAAAAGATCTAAGTTCAAGGGGGACATAATTCTGGAAATAGTCTTGCTAGAGTATTTAACCTTCTTAAAAATGTTGAGTGATAATAAGAAACATATATATAAAGTTTGAAGTAGATACATTAGGAAAAAAAGAAAAAAAGACAACATTTTTCATAAAAATTCTAAGTTCAAGGTAGGTAATACTGATAATTTTTGTGCTAGAGTTGTAAACCTTGTCACATATGATGTGGTTGATGACAAGAAACGTATATTTAAAGTTTAAAGTAAACACCTTAAGAAATAAAGAACTTATAGTGAAAAAGCTGAAAAATTTAAATCAGAAATCTTGAAATTCAGGCTATTTGTTGCCATAGCAACCATAATTTTCAATATAGGAAAAAAGAATAAGATGTGCATAATCTGCAGGCTGCCATCTACCCATATTTTAATTTTCATAAAAATATTTTCAGCACTTTTTGAGTTATCACTCGATCCAGTTTATGTGTTAAATTTGCCATATTTTCAGACTATTTGTTGCCATAGCAACCAGAATTTTCAACATAGGAAGAAAAAAAAGACGTGCATATTCTCCATACTGCCATCTATCCATTTATCAAGTTTCATAAAAATATTTTCAGTACTTTTTGCGTTATCGCGGGATCCAGTTTTGTGGACGGACGGACTGAAGGAGTTCTTACCAGAGCTACATTTAGCTTAGTAGGAACGAAGGCCTACGATGCATGTCAGGAAGGTTTTTTTAAACCAGGCTTATTATGTTCTTGAATGTCTAAATTTGAAAAAAATCTATGTTCCCAGAAAATCAAGGGTTCCCACGTTGTCCAAATTCAAGATGGCCGCCAAGATGGCCGCCAAAAATTTAAGAAAATACCATTTTTACTTAAAATACAAATACAACACTCTTTTTTCACCGTTTGAATTCATTTTTTTATCAAAATGATCGGAACCGCGTAGAATTTCGGATATATAAGCAAAGTTTCACTATAAAAAGCGTAACTTTTTGAAAAATGCCTTAAAATATGCCAAAAAGGGGGTAAAAACGTGTCTTTTTTGGCATCTGGCTGCTTCCAATTCGGCTCAGAAACTTATTTTACCTCTTATACTATATTTTTTCACATTTATTTACAGATATATGTTGACCAAGTACAAAGAAAAACATAAAGTTCAGATATGAAAGGAAATATGAATTTAAGGGACTCTCAATATAAGTCGGGTAATTACCTGAAAATACCCGAAAATTACCTGAATAATACATGATGTATATATAATAATTTATTTCTATATATATAAGAGTTTTATTATAACTACAAAACATGTATGTTGTCATTGTATTTCTCTTTTAGTATTGTCTCGATATAAAAGTAAGTCAAAGCCATTTTTATAGATGGAAGGTAGATTCACAAATTACGCAGTTACTCCCCTTTGATATAATTAAGCCATGAAATCATCTGAAAGTTTCCAATGTCATTGAAGAACACACGAAGTTTACCGACGAATTTGCACAGATTTTTAGAGTAGATTGTACCAGAAGGTATGAAACATTAAAAGCCCAGTATTTAATCTTTAATTCTCAAAGAATTTCTTATAATTTATTAATATAAAATGTCAGATTTTAATGTAGAAAGAAATGCACCAGAACTTCACATAAACAAAAGCTTTTGAGCGGTTGAAATGCTGCAAATTTGTAAAAATATTTGAGTATTAATGTTTATAGCTATGATGTATTATAAATAATCATTTTTGTAAAAATATGGACATTCTCTAAGAGGATCCCTGTTTAATTTTCTTAAAAAAACTTGAGTAGTAGTCGGATGCATACAATATCCGGATAATTTGTTTTTTGCCCTCTTTAACAATCTGAAGGGGTTTGAAGACATATCATGTCAAGGTTTACATGTTTTTTTTTGTTTTCAGGCAATGATTGAGGATAGCTATTCATACTGATAATTAATCTGACAAGTGGCTGTAGAGTCCCAATGCACCACCATGTTGACATGGTACGTGCCATAAATGCATTATAATTTATTCTCATCTGTTTAGAAGGTATGTTGTGTACCTTGTTATTTTTATTAAATTAGATTACCCCTAAACATTGAATAATTATTATTAACAAGTATAAAATAATTGCATTTACAACATAGAAGTTATTTGAATATAACATATATAATCATTTATATTTATCAATGCATGTACATGTAGGTAATGATAAAACTATTTATGTGGACATTTCATATTCTTTATATATTTTAAATGTAACAGTATTTTAAATTGAATTTATACAAATATTTACTGTATAAAAATATTTGACATACTTGAAAACCATTCTGTCAGAATTACTTTATTTCAGACACTTCATTTGGCTTAGTCAGAATGGGACCTTAAATGAAAATGCATTATTGTACCGTATATGAAACAACACAAGAATGATCCAGAAGGTCTGTGTTTTTCAAATGTGTAATGTCAATAACTTTTTCTTTAACTGTACAAATATAAATATTGTAGGTTTCTTTTCCTGAGGTGTTAGTATTAGACTTATATAAAAGAATAAAAGATAATTTACATATTATTGCTATTTTATACCAAAATAAAACCCTAAATTCCTATTTTTTTTTGCTTTAGAAGTAAAACTACTCTGCACATACTCCACTACTGAGCCCTGCCTTACAGGCCTTGTTCCCAAGCTAATGCCAGCTGAGCTGTGGATACACCAGTAAGTTTGAACATAAAATGTGTAATTCAACCATTGGAAGTGTGGGTTGGTTGATGTTGTCTCGCTCTCAGACAGTTTTAATAATTATTAGAAATGTGAAAAATGTGCATTGAAATAAAATTCTTTATGCATTAAATTTGTAGAAATAATTGTTTACCACGAAACAGGTGCAATTTAAGTCCACAATGCTAATTACTATACTTAACAGTGTCACAAAAACTAATTTAACTTTGTATTCAATGTATTCAATGATTAAAATACGTTTATTTTGGATTTTAATTTTGAATTTCCTAAGTAAAAAATAATTTTTTGTTTTTTAGATATGTGGAATGCCTTCATCATCAATGACGTGTAGTGTTAAATATTAAACAAATGAGAAAATGTCCAATAGTAAAAAACGGAAGTACGACGAGCAGCTGAATATACCCACAGACTTTAGGTGCATTATTCACAACAGTGGACTTAGCAATCATGGTGACTGTGTAACACTAAATTCTACAAAATTAAAAGTCTCTGCTGAACAAAAACTAGATCAGCTGCACTCAATTCGCAACAAGCGATTAGCTGAACCATGTGACTCACCACATCGCATGCATGACATATGCAAGAGCATTCCTGCCTCATTATGTGGAATAGACCTGAAACTTACTGCTCCCCAGGGAAAAGTAATAACTACGTCTTTCAAAATTTCTTTTGTGTCTCGTATTAAATTATTAAATTTTAAAATGTAAGTGTCGAATTACGCTGAACCATGAGCTAGGCGGAGAAGGATTGACAGCTGTCAGCCTCTTAAACCAGAACAATCAAAGCGTTCTGGTGACATTTTCATATATCTGTTGGGTGTCATTGTTTAGATTGTTTTGCTACATTATTTGTTGCTACATAAGGTTGACTTGTTTTACTTGTTTTATTTTAGATTTAATTATTTGTAATATATCCATTACAGGTGATTCAGTATCAAGAACAGAGCAACATAGCATTTATGCTTTTGGTAAAAGCTCAATCGTTGAACGAACAGTTGGACCTTGAAGAACTGATGCGGTTTCCTTTGACTCCCGTACCTCATAGCCTTGGTACACCTGATGGGTTCTTTTGCAAGAGAAACAAGGCGGCTTTAATGAATGCCATATTGCAGGATGTGCCACAAGCGACAACTCCTTCAGAATCCACCATTTACATCCAAGATGGTAATGCTCTCTTTCATGAGCTTACAAACCTTGCACCAACGTTTGGCGGAATATGTCTGCAGATTCTGGACATCATGGTTGCAAGGAAGAACTTTATTTTTTCGACGGACAGTTACTTCCCGAACTCTATAAAGGCACAGGAGAGAGTGCGCAGAGGCTGCAGTCGAAAATTCATCGTTGATGGACCTGCAACCCGTAGACCAGCGGACTTTAAAGAATTCCTATCCAACGATGACAATAAGACACAATTATGCAATCTTATTCTGCGCGTGTTTGGGCAGTGAGTCAGCAGCATCCAGACTAGATTGATGTGGAACAGCAGTGGTGGTCGTTGGTGGAAGGCTTACCAGTTAAAAAAGACAAATGGTGATGTAAGTTACAATAATGTTAAGCTTTATACCACAGTCTACATAAATTGTAATGTTACCTACTAATATTTTAGTTATTGTATACAAAAAATATTTTATCCAGGCAAAAATCTAGTGGTCGTTTTGTTTTCGTTTGCTTCAGGTGAGAACGGAGGCGATCTTTAGTTTAGTGTCCAACCAAGAAGAGACAGATACCAGAGTAGTTTTGTACATGCACTACGCATCAACGATTGGCTACCAGTCAGCTATTGTGCGTACACCCGACTCTGACTTATTCTTCATTACCTTGTTCCATGCACAGTCTGTACCACTGACAGTTTATCTCGACGTTGGTACAGGAAAACAGAGACAGGTAAAAATATATACCATGCATTAAACCTATCTTTAATTTCTAGTTACTGAATTTCATTAATGTACCAAGTAATTATTCCAACAGTATATACTTTTTTTAATCTAACAGAATGTATATATAATATACCAAGAATTAAAACTTAAAATAAATTAAATTTCAATACATATTTAACTTTTGAATGCATAAACTACTTTGTCATCTTAGGTGGTGAATATTAGTGAGCTGGCAGACTCACAAGGTGCTGAATACAGTGAGACTCTACTAGGACTGCATGTGTTCACCGGTGAAGATGTCACAAGTGCATTTAAGGGCAAGGGAAAGGTCACACCGCTCAGAAAGCTGCAGAGTAATCCTAAAATACCACAAAACATTCAGGTAAAATGTTTGTAACTGATTAAAAAAATGAATTGTCTGAAACAGTAACACATTTCTAACAAATTATGACAGTAAATAAAAGTATAATAGTCATTATTTTTAACTGATATGTCTGTAGGATGCTGGGTGATACTTGGACAGTTGAAGAAGATGTTATGCAGATGTTAGAAGCGTTTGTCTGTGTGATGTATGGGTGTCCAAGGGAGAGGTCTGTGAACACATGTAGGGCAGTTCTTTTGAAGAAAATGGTAGGAGACGACGAACAGCTGACCATGAAGTCAAAGGTGGAATTATCCAAACTGCCACCTTGCCAGGATAATTTATGCCAACACATCAGAAGAGTCAACCATCGTCTCGGCATCTTGAAAAATGCTCATACACCAGTGATAGAACATCCGGAACCACATGATGAAGGGCAAGGGTGGACCAAAAAGAACGAAGTGTTAGAACCATTGTGGGCTGAGGGTCCCATTCTTCCACCAACGTTAGTTGACCTAGTCGAAAATGTTCAAGCAGAGATGGAAGAAGAAGATGATGATGGTTGTCTAGAAATTTCAGTGTCAGATGATGATGAGTGACATTCAGTAACCGTAAACTTTTGTGGGAGATTAGTTATGTAGTGAGATGATTGGTGATAGTTATACTTCCAATTGAGTTGATTGTGTTTTTATAAATCTGTGGATTTGTATTTATTGTCTGTCTTTTCAGACGAATGAATATAGCTGTCATAATCAGAATGTATGGCACGTTAATGAATTCTTTGTTTCTACTCAGTGTATTTGTAAGATATTGTGTTATGCTGAGTCAACATCTTACTGATATTAATTACTATAGTTATAATCCGAACGTTTCAGAAATAGATTTTGATCCCCATGAATGTAATTATATAATGCAACTGAGGGTATTTTCTATTATTTTTTTACAATGTGTCAACATTACATTTAATTATTAAAAAGTTCACGTAAATTGATAAGTTCCTAAATCCTCACAAAACGAAATGAGGAAAATGTAGTTTGTATAATATCCCTCGCACTATTAATACTAAAGTATACAAACATGTTAACTAATGGTCAAAAGCATCATTGTGAATTGTTCGAGAATAACTGTGTATCTATGTATTTATTTCATTGGTGATTATTGCCCCACCCACTTTTAGAGATGGGCATTGTGAACAGTTAAATGTGACATATTCTGTTGTTTTAAGAATGTCTTAAGAATGTCTTTTCTTCATTTTATTGTTGTATGTTCACATTGGACGATATATGGAAGAACATTTTGAGAGTTACGGTAAATTAAGAAATAAGTCGTTCCCGCGATTAAGAGACATTTACCATAAAAATGTGTTTTTGCCAATTTTGCTGCAAAACGTTAACCTTAAGTTTTTAAAAAAAATTGTTACTTCTAATAAATTACTGAGAAAATATGGAAATGTCACAAGAAAGATAAATAATGTTTTGGAATTGACAGAGAAGACTTCCATAACTTGTATATATTAATTATGCAGGTTTTGACTTTTTTTCATGTAATTGTATGTAATTACCCCCACCTACTTTTTATGCTGCACTTTGTTAAATCTGACATCTGTACTTTTAAAAATATTTATATCTTTGTATGCTATTGTATTTTGATGATTAAAGATAAACTCAACAATTTAATGAGCATTTATGCAATTTTAAGGTAAGATTGAGATGGGCTTTTCATTAAAAAATGAAATTTTCGGCCATTTTTAAGGCAAAAAGTTCACCTTAATGTGTGAAAAAATAAGTTTGCACCCTTTAATTACTAAAAGATAGATTAGGAAATCTCAAGAATGATTAAAACCATGCATAGAAATTGCTGTAGAAGACCTATATACTTTTTGATGTATTTTAAGTACATGGCGTATTTTTCACAAAATGGATGGCACTTACCCCACCCACTTAAATAGTCCCTTAAACTAAAATTTAACTTTTTATCTAGACTTAAATATTTTTTTTCAAATTCTTTATCATGTATCTGTAAAAAAATGTGAAAAAATATTGTATAAGAGGTTAAATAATTTTCTGAGCCGAATTGGAACCAGCCAAATGCAAAAAAAAAACACGTTTTTTACCCTTTTTAAGCATATTTTAAGGCAATTTTCAAAAAGTTATGCTTTTTAAAGTAAAAAAATTGCTTATATATCAGGAATTCTATGTAATTCCGATCATCTTGATGAATAAATGAATTTAAAATGTGAAAATGAAGTGTTGTATTTGTATTTTAAGTAAAAATGGTATTTTCTTAAATTTTTGGCGGCCATCTTGGCGGCCATCTTGAATTTGGACAACGTGGGAACCCTTGATTTTCTGGGAACATAGATTTTTTTCAAATTTAGACATTCAAAAACAAAATGAGCCTGGTTTAAAAAAACCTTCCTGACATGCATCGTAGGCCTTCGTTCCTACTAAGCTAATTATGGGGTTTTCTTTTGTTATTTCGTTTGTTCTTTTTAACCCCACAATGCAGAAAATAACCCCACAAGAGAAACGGAATGAATGACATCAAAGACATCTATTGTTATGAGAACAATAGACCAAACCCCATAATGTAGCTCTGGTTTGTACGGAATGACAGACAGACGGACAGACAGACGGACGGAGGGTAAACCTAAAGTCCCCTCCTGTTAAACCGGTAGGGGACTAGTAAATGATTTTTTCCTGAAGTTTTTTTTGTTAACACTTTTCAACACTTTGCTAAAAGGAATGCTTAAATTGTATAAAACAGACAAACACAGAATCCCTAAAGAAAGCCCAACACGGCAAAATTGAAAATGTTGCAGGCTCGGTTTGATTGAGCCTGTTCATGGACGGTACTGGAAAGTGCAAGTTACCGTCCACGCCCCCTAGCACCGGCTTAAGCAGAATTCAACATTTAAACATGAAGTAGTAAAATTTTGAATTTAGAAACATCCGCAGATGTGTTCATACGGCGGTTATCATGGAACCTTCAATGTGACACTTCCGTGCCATTCCATGAAAAGCGGCGTATGGTCCCCAAGTAATAAAAAGCGTGTGCCCTAAACGAGAAAACAATGGGCGGAACTAATTAAAATGGAATTTTGAAAGGGGATCAGAGGTTATGAAGCCTGCATATCACAGATAAGAGGTCAAAAGACAAATTTAAAAAGCAGGCAACATATCCTAAGGGTGATTCAACATTATTCAAGTAGGAATATTGGAACCACCCGACTAGAAAATGCCGAAAAGTTGAAACTAAAAATACCACAAGCACAACAATAATGTCGTGCTGAACGATCTTCAAGGATCGAAAATATAACATCATTGATTAAATGTACGGGGAGACTTAAAGTCTCAATAACTAATAAAAATGTAAAAATAGACACGTGGGATAAGCATATTGATTTTTTAATCTATGTGACAATAGATCAAATATATGTGTTATTACTACAATCAAAGAATATTTCAGGTATTTTCACTCAATAATTTCAATGTTTTTCCAGATAACATATGAAAATTTTTCGTAACACTACAAGTAATATATCTAATATCTAGATTATATTTCTACATCAGCTTTCAAATATCCGTTTAAATTCCTATCAACCTACTCTTTACCTTCTCTTATAACGCTGAATTAAATATATTTATTTAGCCTTTTGATATGTCTATATAGTAATACAAGAGTGTGAGATTATTTTATATTGGACCGTGTTATTCACTCGAGAAAAATAACAGTAATATTTTCGTAATAACTGACACCACTAGCCAGACTGGAGTCTGATGATTTAGATCTAGAAACATAATCATAGGAATTTACTTATCACACACAGTAGTAAAATCAGAACATGTTATGCCATCATATTTCACTGACTTGGACCAGGAACCAGTCCTATCGGTAGGGAAGATCTATCAGAGCCATGGAAACATGACCTGTCATACATACCAATTCACTTTACTGTCCCACAACTATCATTCGGGGAAGAGCACGAGATGACTAAGAAACCCTTAACACAAGTCATGATGCATTAGGACTTCCCACAAGAGATCTGGACCCATGTGTACTAAGACAGCTCAGCAACTGCCGCCGCTGTCCAAGATTAGAGAGCTGACATCTACATTGTGTACCCAGGAGGCAAAACGGAGGCAAGAAGTTGCCTAACCGGAAAACACAGCACCAATTACAGGGCAGAAGTTGACGCTATTATGCAGGCTTTTACTCTTATTGAAAAGTCACAAGAAGACTGTTCAAATGTTGAGGTGCTTACAGATGCCCTGTCTGTTGTTGAGGTCCTTGATACTTGTCGGCTACCAGAACTCTCCAGAGCAGTGAGCCATGTTAGCCATGGCAGAGAGCTGGCACTGCAATGGATCTCGGCCCACTGCAGAGTGCCTGGAAATATGCAGACAACCTAGCCAAGCTAGGGGTAAAAAAAAGACCAACCATAGAACATCGTATGGCATGAGGAGAATGTAACGCTGATAAAGGCACTAATGTAGCCAAAGACAGCACAATATGATTACCATCTGCTTACTAGAACTAAACAGGTAGCGCTTGTCAGACTATGCACTGGCCATAGCAGACTAAATGCACACATGCATGATAAAATCACCTATGTGCTCATGGGTCTTGGAAAATCAAACGGCAAAACACTTATTACAAAGTTGCCAAGATCTAGAGCAGCTGCGAAAAGAAGTGTGGCCAGCAAGGCCCCCACTGGAGTAGAAACTCCACATGAACCTTGAGGCCCTCCGGAAGACTGCACATTTTATTGCTGTGGCTAGGGTGACGTTGTTAAAGGGCGAACGACAAGAAGAAGAACTGACATGTTACATACATTAAATTCAAACAAGAAAATTACAGATTTCACTTTCAACCTCCCTTTATCTTTTGATGACTTTTAGTATTTTATGTCCTGAATGTACATACATTAAAGGATTCATGAAAAAGAATCAAATTTCTTATCACTGTAATTGTATGAAAAAGCTCACTATTTGACTTGATTAATAGTATAACTCTGGTTTCTTATACTTAAAAGTCACTGAATACTAGAATAGTTCGTTTACGATATATTTGCTTTTCTGTCAACTAAATGTCGATGGTAAACATAACAAATAATTATATACCCCTGTGAAAAGAATATCAAATTTTGCGTTAGAATGACGAGATGTTTCACAATATTCTTGTTCCATTCTTTCATAAAAAATAAATTTGTGTTTCCAAACTGAACTTTATTTTTCTCTGATGAATTGTAGAATAGCTGTTTGAATCGTAAACACATATTTTATGATCAACGAATTGAAATATTTCTGGTAATAAACTTTCCGGTATTTTTTTTCAGATTATGTGTATGCACTTTGTATTAACGTTTTAGATTAAATCAAAGATAATTGAAAAGAAAGTCGTGTCAAATATGAGAAATATATAGTGACTGATTTATGTCTTATCATATTTTTACTTCATGGGGCGCCAGACGAAAACACGAAAATTGGACAAAGTAACAACTGACTGATAACTTAATCTAATTTCCGTGTTTTGTTTCGACTAGCGCCCTGTGGAGGAAAAGTACGACAACGTGTCGTATTTTCATGTATTTCCTTGTCGCCCCGCAAAGCAAAACAGCGACATGGCACAACTCAACAACGATCGATAGAGACGAATAGTATAGTGGTTTGAAGGTTACATGTTCTCAGCATGTAATTACATCAATCTTGCCAGTAATTTTCAAAATTGGAATAACTACATACAATAATGTTGACAAAGTGTAATTTTGTCTTTAAAATTATTATACATTTTACCTGAGATCATTGTCAAGGACAAATAGACACTATTGAAAAATTTCAATAGAATTTACTAAAAACGGCATCACCTTTATATTGTAATATTTATCAAATTGATTAATTTAAATCACGCATGTTGAACAAAAATTACATTCAAATGTAAATGATTGTATAAAGCGTAATTAAGCACACTCAAAGCAATCAGCTGAAAGTGGGACAGTTTTAATATACACTACTGGAAATAAATATGTTATGCGCCTTTGTAATATTCAACCATCATATGACATGTACTGTTTTATGCATAAAGCTAATTATGATGATTATATAAGTTATTTGTTTGCAAGGTTTGAAGATTCTGCGGATAGTGAAAATACTGATAGAAAGGTTTTGTCGACAATAAACTTGTCTTTTGCTACCGATACGTGACTGAGTAAGTTTACAGTTAATTGAATAGTTGTTCGTTATTTTAAAACCAGTTTTTGACTACATGAAACATTTTCCTTGGTTATTTGGAAATTGTTAGCATTTTAAAACAATGTTAAATGATTACATTGTAACCACTAAAGTCAAGTTCAGTTGAATTAAGTTAAAATTATAAAAGATTGACTATTATAATGATACC